CACTAAATGTAGAGCTCATCGAGCAACTCTTTTGCTTAAATTTGACTAACATTTGTCCCGTTTGCCATCTGTAGCGGGTTGAATGGTGCCCCCCACCAAAAGATATGTCCACATCCTGACCCTTGTCAATGTCACCTTGTTTGGAAAAAGGATCTTGACAGATGTAATTAAGTTAAAGATCTCCAAATGAGATCATCTTGGATTACCTGGGCAATCCAATGACTGTCCTTGTAAGACAGAGAAGACACAGACACACAGAGGAGAAGGCCATGTACAGACAGAGGCAGAGTGAGAATACTGTAGCCATGGCCACAGAATGCCTGGAGCTACCAGCAACTGGAGGAAGCAAGGAACCGTTCTCCCCTACATCTTCCAGTGGGAACGTGGCCCTGCCACCACCTCGACTGCAGACTTCTGGCCTCCAGATTTGAGGGAGAATAAATTTCTGTTGAAGCTGCCCATTTTGTGGTCATTTGTCATGGAGGCCCTAAAACACTAGTATACTGTCTCTTCACTTCTTGACATTTAGGGCTCGAGACATCGGTGGCTTCCCCACTCATCCAGCCCGATATCTCAAATAAACCTCTCCTCCAGGCTGGTGCCCCTTCATGGTCTTCTGTATGGGACCCTCAGATCCCTAATGTGCTTTCCCTCGTGTTGCTTTCTCTTTACTGGAAAGCAGACATGCTATTCCAATAGAAGTTTTGGTAACTCATCAATCTCCCACCTTTGATCTTTTAAATGCCATCCATTTAGTACACTTACCCTAGATTACCCACCTGGAGTGCCATTATCTTTCCTATCTTGGACCCTGGCTAAAACAGAGGGTGAAGCGCTGGAGCCGCTCACAGCCTTCAGGTTATCTTGTGGGGTCTGAGAGAAGATCACATGAAGGAGACTAGAGTCAAGGGAGCCAAAGGGACTGAGTCCTGGCCCTGTTGGCTGAGACCTGACTCTAGGTTATGCCCAAGGCTGTCACACACACTAATTTTTCATTTGCATGAGCCAGCATATTTTCTTTTTTGCTCTAAGAATTTTGAGTTGATATTTCAGTTGCTTCAAACAGAAAGAGTCTTAATTAGGTATAACTAAAAATATAGCTGAAAAGTGAAGATGCACGGATCCCCGATCCTAAAGACTCTCCATTTGACCTTAACACAGAATCACCTTCCAGTTCTGTTTCCATGAGGCCCAATCCTACAGCAGATAATATTTTCAGGTTTCTCTGAGATTCTGTCTCCCTTACACAATATGTGTATTCTCACAATATTCACCATCTTTACTCAAGTAAGCATGGGTGAGTCTCTGCTCCTTCGAGCAAAATGAACATAATAAAACAGTTCTCTTTTTACAGATAACAAAATGGAGGCCAAGATAAATGAACAAATTTCATTTAAGTAAAGGTGATGTCAAACCTGAACTTGGCAGGTAGGTCTTCTCGCCCAGGATCTTTCTGTGTTCCTTTTCCCTCCTTCCCTTATGCTTTTCTCTTCCCATTTGCCATGAACTTTTGTGGCCTAGGACATGTCACATCATCTCAGGGCCTTGAAGCTTGCCAGCTGTCAAAGAAGAAAAGTCATGGGCTTGTCTTTCTCTGAGTTTCCATCTCTTGTCTCTATACTCACTTGGCATTTAGCATGTGCAAAACCCTATGAAGGTTTTGGGAATACTTGATAATGTTAACATGTACTTTTATTTAGCTCCTCAACTATTCATAACTTGCCTTTTCAGGTGAGAGTAAATATATCTGGTATCTGATTCATCTTGGAAAGATCTATAGTGCCTAGTACAGCATTTAGCTCACTTTAAAAAAATCAGTAAGTACCCATTGGCAAGACTAACTAAAAGGATTTTAGGCAACTGCTGGCTAACCTGCGGAAACAAAATTAAGGTGGCTCCAACATGATAGAAGTTTACTTCTCTCTCACTGCCCACAGGAGGGCAGGCAGTCCAGGGTGAGTGAGTGTCTCTGTTTTAGGAAGTCATCCAGGGACTCAGGTTCTAACTTCTTGCTCTGCTATCTTCTAGGGTATTTTTCTTCCCATAGTCAGAGCTGGCTCACTAGCTGGCTCACTGGCTCAGAATGTACCACATTCACGTTCTGGCCTAATGATAGCAGGAAAGGGAAAGTGAAGGGAAAGCAGGTAACTTTCTTATTAAAATGTGATTCAAGGGGCGCCTGGGTGGCTCAATCAGTTAGGCCTCCGACTCTTGATTTTGGCTCAGGTCATGATCTTGGGTCATGGGCTCAAGCCCTGGAACTGGCTCCATGTTTAGTGGGGAGTCTGCTTGAAGATTCTTTCTCTCCCTCTTCTGGCCTACCCCCCCCCCCGGCTCATGCTCTCTCTCTCTCAAATATATAAATAAATCTTTTAAAAAATGCAAAAATAAATAAAATATGATTCAAACAGGTACATATTATCTCTGTTTGTAGCTCATTGCCTAAAACATTGTCACATAGTCACATTGACTTGCAAGTGATACTGGGAAATATAGACTCTAAATGGACAGTCATGTGGTCAGATATAACTTGGGACTCTCTTGCTAAAAGAAAGACGAGGAGCCATTTAATCATTTAACATTCACTAAATGACTAAAATTAAAAAGATTGATGATACCAAGTGGGTAGGAGAATAAAATGGTATGTTCACCTGAGTGAACTCTTTGGTCATTCCTCTCCTAGGTATTTACCTAAGAATAATGAAAACGTACATCCACAGAAATACTGGTACAAGAATGTTCATAGGAGCCTTATTCATAATAGCCAAAACCAGGAAACAAACCAAGTGTCCATCAACAGGAAAATGATGCAACATGTTGTGGGATATTCATACAATGGGTTGCCACTCGGCAATACAGAGAAACAAAGTACTGATACATGAAACATCCAGGGCTGGTTTACCCATTTGGCACAGCAGGCACAGTGCCCAGGCCCATGAGAATGTTCTAATTCGTTTAAAATCAGGAGGAAAAATGAACTTTTAGGCTTAAGAAAACATTTTATTAATGTTAATTAATATGGACATATTTGTTTTTATAGCAACACAGTTATAAGATAAAAATTTTTAACTTTATTTTTTATTAAGAAAGGTCCCATGAGGTCATTAGGGCTTGTGAAGGTCATAATGTAGCCCTACAAACAATAAGGATGAGTCATAAAAGCATGATGTTGAGCAGAAAAACTTGAGGTACCAAAGAGTATATGCTGTGTGATTTTATTTAATGAAGTTCTGTAACAGACAAAACTAATCCGTATTAATAGAGATCAGAAAATGGTTGCTTCTGGGATGGGGAGGGATTGCCTAGAAAGAGGAATGAAGATATGATTCGAGAATGACAGAAATGTTCTATATCTTCTTTTGGTGGGTTACCTAGGTGTATACACAATTGTCTAAAATCATGGCACTGAACTGTTAGGACCGGTGCATTTTATTGTATAGCAATTATGCCACAACTAAAAAAAAGGAAGAAGGGAAGAATGGACACTAGAGGGAAGTTAATAATCTCTGCAACAGATTTGATGAATGAATTCTTGAGACAGCGCTAGCTGACAAGATTTTAAGTTGCATTTTAGTAGAAAAGCTGTAGGGACTCAGAAGGGTCTAAGCACCATGGCAGGCCACTGGGGAACGAATCACTCTGCTCTGTATCATTCAAGGTTTTTAACTGCAAGCAAGAGAAAGTAGCTCTGGGTATTTAAGCAGGAAACAAAATTTTTGGAAGAATAACAGAAACTATAAAGAACAGGCTCTAAAAACAGGCAGGAATTGAGGAGGCAAAACACAGAAACGATCATACCATTAGTTGGCTGACAGATCAGAGGATGCCCTTACCCTATGCCTTTGCCCCATCCAACCAAACCCTATCTCAAGCTTTCACTGCATCTATTTATTGCTCCCCAAAGCGAAAAACCTATATGGCAGTGTCCTGACTCCCACTTACTTTGGAATTCCCAAAAATAGGGATAGAGTTTGAATGCTGGGCAGCCCCAGATAACCAACGTTTATAACACAATCTATCTCTGTAGTTTAGATTCCTACTTGCGATTCTAACTCCCTGTCCAGGACTTTCAAGATCCAGGGTGTGTCCAGTGTAGATTGTTATGTTCTAAACACCACTAATCTGGCTTGGGAGAGGGAACCACAGGATCAGGTGTGGAAGATCACCCTGGCTCACCATCTGGGACCTGGGCAGGGAAACCAGTTATGCTGGTGAGCTCTGGTGAGAGCGAGACTTATACAAGAAAAATATCTGAAAGGCAGATAGGACAGGGCTTGGTGATTAAAATGGGCTATGGAGGGGCGCCTGGGTGGCTCAGTCGTTAAGAGTCTGCCTTCAGCTTGGGTCATGATCCCACGGTCCTGGGATCGAGCCCCACATCGCGCTCCCTGCTAGGCAGGAAGCCTCCTTCTCCCTCTCCCACTCCCCCTGCTTGTGCTCCCTCTCTCGCTGTGTCTCTCTCTGTCAAATAAATAAATAAAATCTTTTAAAAAAAATGGAAATAAAATGGGCTATGAAAAAGCCAGGAAAAAGGAGTCAAAAGGGACAGCCCAAATTTCTGTCTCCAAATTGAGACAGGAGGGAGGGGTGAGGAGTGTGAGAATGCATAGGCACAGTGAGACCCAAGAGAGGCAAGGAGTAGGTTTGTTTCATTTCTGTTTGGGGTGGCTGGGTGGGAAAGTTTAAGGTTTTGACGTAGTGAACTTGAGACAGAGCTGTCCAATACACAACTGAAATGACACGTTTTAGAAAGAGACCAGCGAAGGTCCAGTCTATTGGCTGAGGCCATGCATAAGGGCGAGCTTAGCCTGGGTGGTGACACGAAGCGCGGAAAGAGGGTGCTCGCGATTGCTGACGTTTAGGGAGCCGTCTCCAAGCTTGCGACACCGCCTGGCGCTGCGCACGTGTTCACGGCCGGCCAGGTCCAGCGCGCAGACACCGGTCCGCGCCCACCCCCTCCGCCCTCTCCCAGGCCCCGCCCCACTGGGCGGGGCGAGGCAGCAGCGCCGCAAAGGCACCGGAAGACACAATCGGGTAGGCGCGAGCTCAGCCGCCTGAGACCCCCGGGCGCACCTGGGAGGGGCACCAGCCAAATGGGGCGAGGGGACGGGGAACCGCCGGGAAGGGGTGATGCCGGGACAGCCGGGCCCGCGGCGCTGAGCGCGGCCGTGGCGGCTGCGGCAGTGGCACTGGTCGCCGCCCTGCTCCTGCTGCGGTGTGACGACGCGGGGTCGGGGACCGGCTCCAGGTAACCCCTCCGCGCAGGGGGCCGAGCTGGGCCCTCGCACCCCAGTGGGCGGAGGAAGGAGGGGTTGAAACCGGGAGTACCGTCGGGGAACGAGGCCTCGGGGTGCCATGGCACCTGGGCGCATTCTCCTGTTAGGGCCCCTTCGGAGGTGTAGATTGGCTCAGGTGCGGTGGATGGCCAGGGTGTCACGCCCTGCAGGTGATTCAGCACTTTCCCCTGGGCCCAGACTGCGGAGAATAACAATACCTTTTTCCAAGCAAGTAAACCACCATTGTTCCCCAGGATAAGCAAGGGCCATCCCTTAAACATCCCAAGACCAGCCGCTATCGATGTTATTTCTGCAGCATGGCCGAGACTGAGGCGCTGCCGAAGCTTCGGGAAGACTTCAGGATGCAGAATAAATCTGTCTTTATTCTGGGCGCCAGCGGGGAAACCGGCAGAGTGCTCTTAAAAGAAATCTTGGAACAGAGCCTGTTTTCCAAAGTCACGCTCATTGGCCGGAGAAAGCTCACCTTCCATGAGGATGCTTATAAAAATGTGGTGGGTATTTGAGCTGGGACTCAAAAATGTAATTGCAGTGATTCTTCGGGGTGAACATATATTCATGCCTAAAGGCTGAACATTGCCCGGCCGGTGGTGGAGGAGAGGTGCTCACAATGTGGCCGAGAATGGTCTGTGAGAGGCCCTCCTGGAAGCTGGAGTCCTGGTTATAGGCCCAGGTTGGCCTCCCCACTCACTGTATGACCTTGGGCAAAGCCCTTCTCACAATCTAGACCCCTACAAGGCCGGCCTGGCTTGTAATGAGGGCTTGGAAGACAGAGAAGAGCAAGTTTTCAGGGCCATTCAAGCTGGGTTCTAGAGACAGTCCGGTAACCTGGGGCCGTTTTCTCAACCACTTTGCTTGTTTTATTTACCTGTCCACCCAATATTAATGTCAGTGAATTGCAGGCAAGGTCTATGGCAATAAAGGTGAGATTATTCACCCACAAGAATTTCCCTGCCTAACTTCCCAGGGCTGCAGCCTTGTAAGTGGAATATTCTCTTCATTGTCACACTTTCATGGTTAACCAAATGACATGCCAGACCTCCCCTAAATATTTGAAGTCTGAGCTTTGTGGAGATTCCTTTCCCCATGTAAAGGGAGTTGTGAAATGCAGTAAATTAAACTATAATGTAATCCTGAGACCCCACAGCTATAGACATTGGTCCCACAGGCTTCACAGGTGGACCATTCCAAATACCAATGTTCTTAATCCCTGTAGGTCCATGGTCAGGTCATTTTACGTCTAATGTCCATCAGGACTTTACTGTTTAAAATGGACATCTTTGCTCAGACTTAGTTAATATGTGGTCTTCACAGTCTGCCTTCATGGAGTGTGTCAAATACCTCCAGTAATTAGAAACTGAAATTGAGTTCTGTGCTTTGATAATCGAGTTTTGGTGGCACGTCTTTTGGTTATGCACTTAATGGGAACATTTTTCTTTAGCATACTCACAGTGCCAGAAAAATCCTTTTGAAAGAGCTGATGGTAAGGAAGGAAAACTACATTTTATTTGAACTCCTGGATGATGGGAACTTCTCAATCTATCTTTTTTAAGTTTCACAACAAACTTATGAGGTTACGTGGAGGTTCTTTTTTTTGTAAGATTTATTTATTTTAGAGAGAGAGAGTGCATGAACAGGAGGAAGGACAGAAAGAGAGGGAGAAGCGGACTCCCTACTGGACTGGGCTTGATCTCACAATCCTAAGATCCTGACCTCAGCCATAACCAAGAGACAGACCCTTAACTGACTGAGCCACCCAGGCATCCCTACATGGAGGTTCTTTTTTTTTTTTTTTTAAGATTTTATTTATTTGACAGAGAGAGACAGCAAGAGAGGGAACACAAGCAGGGGGAGTGGGAGAGGGAGAAGCAGGCTTCCCACTGAGCAGGGAGCCCGACGCAGGGCTCGATCCCAGGACCCCAGGATCATGACCCGAGCCGAAGGCAGACGCTTAACGAATGAGCCACCCAGGTGCCCCTACGTGGAGGTTCTTAAATCTGAGTGAGCACGAGAATTACAGAGGGTGCTTATTAAAAGTGCATTTTCTGCTTCAGAAGTATTGGTGCAACACCTAGGAATATGCCTTTTTTTTATCAAGCACTCACTGGCTGATTCTAACACAGGTGGTTCATGAATTGAACTGAAGGAAGGATTATCATTCCCATTTTATTGCTGGAAAAACTGAGGCATATGACTTGGCCAAATAACTTGGCCAAAATTACATGCTTAGTAAGTAGCAGGCCCAAGAGTTAAACCGAGGTCTTTGAGATTCCAAACACCATTCCTTGCCCTGACATTGTACTTCATTAGTATCCCTCCTCGTAGTACAGACAGGTCTTTTATTTTTCCAGAGAGAAAATTATAATTGAACCTGACTTTAGAGATCTGAATCACTTACAGTCCAGTTATGTGTACCGTGGACATATAAGTGCATTGTTGATTTTGAATTCAGATTAATTGCTTTTTAGTGGGGGAAAAAATGAGCTTGCAAAAAATTTTTATAATATGATTATGCATTTTCCTTAATTTAATTTCTATTTATCTTATTAAACTTGGTTTGTCTCCCAGCAAAGTATCAATTTGGTAAATAGCATCTGTAACAGTCACTTGATCATAGGTCTTAAAAGCTACCCAGTACCTTATTTATATTGTGTAAATTATTAAGTGTATCCATGCTTCATATCTAATGCCCCAGTTTTCTGCCACTCTGCACAGTGCTGCTCTAGCTCTATCAGAAGTTTCTTACTAAGTAAAATAAGCACACTATGTGGAATTGCGATTCCCATGCCCTAAGAATCTGTCCTACTAAATCGCGATTCCCATGCCCTAGGAATCTGCCCTACTAGATAGACTAACATGGAAAAGATAGAAGGAGAATGGCAGAAGAGATGCCAGAGCAGAGAGCTTGAAAATCTGATAATAAGTGGGCAGACTCTTCAGTAATGTTCTCTAATTTATTCTTTAAATCTAGAGGGGTATTTTTCTCTCTCTTTTAATAACATCAAATTATATACAGCTGTGTCCTTGTTGTCTAGAACCAAGAAGTGGTGGACTTTGAAAAGTTGGATGACTACGCTTCTGCCTTTCAAGGTCATGATGTTGGATTTTGTTGCCTGGGTACCACCAGAAAAAAAGCCGGAGCGGTAAGGAAGACATAGACCCCTTTCCCTTTTGCTGTCTGGTAATGTCAACTATTCCTTTCTTGCTTACTCTTTTTCTTTACATCTGTAGTGCTTACATGTAATAAGCTCTTATCATTTATGATTTCATATGCTGCCATAGCCTTTGCTATACTTTGAATAGTACTGATACATTCATCTTTCCTTCAAAGTAATCCTTGAGTTCAGTCCTTCGTGCTGGAGACATCATAAATATTTACAAGGTCTTGCCTCTTGCAAATAATTGCTATCACTCTGTCCCCTGACTAAGGCAGACCATTATGTCTGAGTAAAAGTAAATGGCTCATGCTGTTAGCAATAAGCTTTTTTTTTCTTATAAATGTTTTAAACTTAAAGCATTCTCTCTCACATATATGATTTGCTTCAACCTGTTTTCATGCCAAATTTTATTTTTTATTTTATTTTTTTAAAGATTTTATTTATTTGACAGAGAGAGACAGCAAGAGAGGGAACACAAGCAGGGGGAGTGGGAGAGGGAGAAGCAGACTTCCCATCGATGTTTTCATGCCAAGTTTTAAACTTATGATATAGAACATCAGAACAGAGACACGATTCAGCTAGCCTTTAGTGATGACTCAGCCTTCAGTGGTGATTCAACCCCAGTGGTGATTCAGCCCTAACTGACGCAGACTGTTCTAATCCATGTTTTATCTTCTTTTTAATGGTATTCTAAATCACATCAGCCTCTGTCCAGAAGTCCTAGGTTACTATCTAGTTATAAGTCATTGCTTACTATGTAGATCCTCAGCAAGTGTTAATACCTCTTAATTTATACCTTGACTATAGTTTATTCCTCTCACAGAGGATTGTTGGAGCTAAATGTGTTCATTTATTTATTATTATTTTTAGAGAGAGTGTGCAAGAATGGAAGTTGGGGGGAGGGAGATGGGAGGGGCAGAGGGATAGAATCTCAAGCAGGCTCCACGACTAGTGTGGAGCCCGAAGTGGGGCTCGATCTCACAACCCTGAGATCATGACCTGAGCCAAAATCAAGAGTTGGACGCTTAACCAGCTGAGCCACCCAGATGCCCCTAAATGTGTCTATTAAGGTATTATGCTATTATGGTAGTAGTATCAGGATGCTACCGTGGGACCTTATCATAGATTTATAAATAGGCCCATGTATCAGAATCATTAGGAGTGCACATGGTTAAGAACTATTGGTTTATACCAACTAAGGAGTTCAGCTCAAATGTTTTTCTCTGGCCCTGTTGGTGATCCAAAGAATAATTCTATTTATGCTTTTGGTAAGGATGTATTTCCAAATCTTCTGCAGTTCTGTCATGTCCACTTTGGAACCCAGTTGGGTTTTGAACTCTGTGCTGGGAAGTATGGATTATAGAGAAGTTTGACTCTCCCAGGAATTGGCACATTGTGTCTCCTAGAAAAGGTCATTATCCTGCTCAGCAGCTGGTACAGTCATTTCTGTCCCAGCAACAGTCACAAGCAATGTGCCCTCTAAAAAGCACTGAAAAACTTTTGTTCTAGTACACTGCAGGTTGAACTGTCTCAGGTGCCAAGCTGATTTTGGTGGTTACTCAGCAAAATAAAAACGACTGCATTAGGCATAGAGCAGTTGATTTTCATCACATAAGGCAAATCTCATTATAGGGTGCTGCAAGAAAAAGTCGAAATTGCTTTGTTGCATTCAAATTTTGTAAAGCAATTTTAATCAGAGGAATTGGATGTCTTCACTATCCAGAATATTTTTTTTAGGTGGAGTTGGTTCCCCACCCGTCAGGCTACTCAATACCTTTTGTTCTCCAAAATCAGTTTGAAAAGATAAAAGTATTCATGGGTAAGCAAGAGAAAAAAAAACTAGTAAGCCAAATATAACCTCAGAAATGAGTTGGAGGTTAAATGGTTTAAGAGGATAGTGACAGAAAGTAAGCTGACATTTCCTCCAGAATGTCTTTTTTAAAAAAAATTTGATACTAATTTTGATTGGATGCAATATGAAGTTTGGTGGTTGGGATAACTTCAGGCAATTTAAGAGGTGACGGTTCACAGGTGGTTAGGTAATAATAGTTGTTTGATGGGGGATTGTGCATTTCCAAGCTCACCCTACCTGGTATTCCGGGTCAGCAGCCCTGACAAAGAGCTCACAAAGAGCTCATCAGGTAGATACTGAGAAGCTGGTGCAAGCCTGGTGTCATTCTGTAGCTGTTTTGTAACTGGAACATCCCACAGTTTTCCTTAGTGGTAGAACTTTCCAGTAGAAAAACTTCAAGAAATTCAGGGTTTCTGTCTCATTATTGACACCCTTGGGGTAGCCATCTTATTTCCCTATGATCTTCAGTGTGTGAATTTGCTGAGGCTCTTACACAAAGCACCATACCCAGGGTGGCTTAAACAACAGAAGTCTAGTGTCTCACAACTCTGGCAGCTGGAAGTCTGAGATCAAGGTGTTGGCAGGTTTGGTTCCCCTGAGGGCTATGACGGAAGGAACTTCCAGGCTTCTCTCCCTGACTCCTAGATGACCGCCTTCTCTCCATGTCTCTTCATTCAATGTTTTTCCTGAGGGTGTGTGGCTATGTCCAAATATCTCCTTTTTATAACAGCACTAGTCCAGGTAGATTAAGAACCACCACTCTCAGTATGACCTCACCTTAACATCAGCAATGACCCCGTTTCCAAATTAGGTCACATTCTGAGGTACTGGAGGTCACGACTTCAACATATGAGTGTTGGGGAAAACATTACAACCCATAAAATTCAGGCTATTCAGATTTCCCCTGAAACCGGTGTCGGGATAGGTCTGTTAGCTTTTTCAGCTGTTTGGAAAGCCATTTCGTTTAGTCGTGTTAGATGCTGATCTTTTTCACACTCATAGGCCCCAGTTGTTCAAAAGTGCAGTGGCTTCCTTACTTGGCCCCAGTCCAGATCTACTGGGTCAGAATCTCTAAGGCTGGAAGCTTGGCAGCTATTTTTAGCAAGCTCCTTGGGAAATTCAGACACAGCCAACCCTCCTCTTGTTGGACCTGCTTTCGTAAAGCATTAGGATGTGTTAGTCTTCCTCTCCTGCTGCTTTTCTAGGTACTGGAGTCCCATATGGCCTTCACCTGGCTTTAAGAAGTAACTTGTGTGCTAGTGAAGGTTGTAATACCCTTTGAAAACCAGATCTACTTTGGCCTGGGGTGTGGAGCAGAAACTCACAGATGTCACTGAGAATAGCACTTTCCCCTTATTTGTCTTCAGAGAAGGATGTGGTTCGTGAGTTTGAGGTGGTGTAATGTGGTTTCGCCTCTCCATTGGCTTCCTCACGGTCCAGGTTCTTGGATTCTGTTGAATGGACAATGCTGGTAATGCAATTAAAGCCGCCGTTGTAACATTTATGAGGCATCATTATAGTCTCTTGGCTTCTGATTCGAATCAGAATGAAACATTCTTCTAATCCAGGGGCTTGCGGACCACAGGCTGTGGGCCACATACAGCCTACCTGTTTTTGTGTAGCCCATCGAGCTAAGAATGTTTTTATATTTTTAAATGGCTAAAAAATGTCAAAAGGGGAATAATATGTCATGACATGTGAAAATATAAGAAATTCAAATTTCAGTATCCATAAATAAAGTTTTATTAGAACACAGCTGCTCTCATTACTTTATATATTTGTGGCTGCTCTTGTACCGTGATGGCCGAGCTGTGTCACTGTAACAGAAGCCTGCAAATCTGGAAGTGTTTGCTATCGCATCCTTTACGGGAACAGCTGGCTGCCTCCTGCTGTAATGTGTACTGTTTGATTTGATGTCTAGAAGGGGCTTGTGAAGTCATAGGGCCCCCAGTGACTTGAGGCTCTCTGTTTGGATACCAAATAGCCATGGGGCCTTGGGTGTGCTGGGTCGCTCCCCTGGGCCAGTGCCTCCTCGTCGGTACTGAGAAGGAGGTGACCACTGACCCGGTTAGCCTGCAGAATTCTTTGACTTACATCACCCAGAGAAAAGAATGCCCCCAATGGAAACATTTTGTGAGGACGTAGAGATGGACTCAGGAATCTCAGTTATGTTTGATTTTCTTTTTCTATCCAGAGCTTTTTCTCTAACCAAGATCTTGGTTCTACCGCTGTACATCAAATATAGAGATGCCTTCCAGAAATACAAACAAATGGGGTCTCAGATTATACCATTTGTTGTTTGTCAGCATCTCTGTCTTCTAGTCTAATTTATAGGGCTGGCTTGAAATGGGAGTAAAGAAGAAAGAATTGAAGCAGGAATATGGCTAAGTGAGCCCCTTTACAGAATGACAGATCTTCCCTCCTTGGAGAAGGGTGCCCCAGATGTTGAGTCATTGTGGCATGCTCTCTGGTCGTGCCCGTCACTGCTGAAATACCTTGTTAGGAGAAGTTGTTCTTAAGCCAACGTGTTCCTAGTTTTCAGGACTGTGTAAAGATTAGAAGAAATACTTTTAGTAGCTTTGGATTTTAATAAGATTAAAGAGTAATTGGAGAATTTGTCTCCCTTGATTGTGGAGCCTGTGAAGGTAGCTCTGCTGAGTCATATTACATTGTGCTTATTCTTTTGAGTGGGTGCTGGGAAAGGAAATTTATAGTGGGAACTTATTTAATCAATTCCTTTTTCTAGAAGGAACTCTGATTCCTAGCTTAAAGTAAGACACACTGACTATAGAATCATAAAGACACTGTAACAGAATGGACTTAATGCTCTCAGAAGAGATGTCTTTTCTCCTGCCATATGGTTAGGGAAACTAAATATGGTTTTTCTGGGAAAACACATGAAAACTGTGTTTCTGGGATATGAAGTAGCTTGTTTCTTCTATTGGTTTTTTTTTTTTTATTTGCACCGTTAGAGAACAAGAAAGGATGTTAATAAGATTTTAAAGATAGCTTCCTTCTATCTCTAAATGGAATCTTCCTCACTGCAGAGAAAATTAGTGTGTGTTGCTATCTCCAAGTCTGTCACCAGGATCCACGCTTAAGTTTGGTTTCTAAGTCCTTGAAAGCTGTTGACCTCTTTGCTTTTGAGTTTCATTCACCAGCTAAAAGGCCACGCATCAGGGTGGGGGAAGTGAAATTCAAAAATTGTGGGCTTAGAAAAGTGCAGATTTATAATCAGCTTGGGGGCTCGGAGGATTTGTGAAATCATTTTGGATTAACAGCCATTGATTGCTAATAAAACAATATTTAGCTTTGTCCAGAGAACAGCAGTGGAGAAAGGTCCGGGCACCTCGTCAACAGGGCCCATTGAACGGGGGTGACGGGCTAAGTGTGGGGGTTTCTGCAGCAGCGTGGGTGCTCGTCCTTCACAGGGCTGTTGTCAGTTGTTAGCCAGGCCCGTGAAAGGAAGGACGCCAGAGTCTGATGGCTAGGGTGGTATTGATGTGCTTTAGCTGACTAATCAGATTGAAAAAGTCCCATGGCACTTACGTCACTTTAATTTTCATCAAACAATTGGAGATGGCAGGACTCTATTAAGGAGAGGTTGATCCAGAACTAAAGCCAAATAAATTAGGGTCTCAGTTTAATCAAATTATCCATTTACTGGCTCTGGATTAAGCGAGAGAGACAGCGTCGGTCCTGGGACTTGTGATTGGCTGAAACTTTCCTTTATTTTTAAAGAAGCTAATGAAAGAAAAAAAGCATTTTAACAGAGACAACGATGATAACGCTTCCAAGAAATAGTGCTAAACAGCAGCAGCAATGAAGAGGTTTTTATTTCACTAGTCAGCGCTGTGATTTCATTGTGAGTAACAGAGCTGGGCTCGAAATCAAAGTTTGGGGATTCCTTCTGCACACGTAAAATCTCAATTCGGAGAACGGCTCTGAGGAGACTCACGTCCCTCTCTCAGGCGGAGCAGAGCAGTAAACTCGATTTGCTTCACACGGGTGTGAAAGAGCCACATCGTGAGCTGGAATCCGCGTGTAGGCGAGTCTGCTGTGAGGCTCGAAGTGCAAGTGTACAACACGGAAGGGGGTGGTGGTGATGTGTGGGTGAAGAATGACATTTATATTACCTGCCCTGCAGGTAGTGGTTAAGATGTATTGTCACTGCCGACAGAGGACAGGAGAGACTTTGGGGGTAAGGGGGACATTCTAGTTCTTGATCTGGACGTTGGTTGCAGAGGGGGTTCAGGTGATGAAAAAGTCACAGCTCTGTCCTTTCAATATGTTTACTTTTCTTTTATAATCGACTTCCATACAAATCTGAAAAGGTGTGGGCCTGTTGTTTTAAGATTGAAATCTGTATTAGTTTCCTACTGCTGCTGTAACATACTGCCTCGAATCTAGTGGCTTCAAACAACATAAATGTATCATCTTACAGTTCTGTAAGTTAAGTAAATCCAACGTGGATTTCGCTGAGATAAAATCAAGGTGTCGACAGGGCCACGTTCCCTTCTGGAGGCTCTGGGGGCGAATCCACTTTGTTAACGTTTTCCAGCTTCTAGAGGTCGCCTGCATTCCTTGGTACGTGGTGCCCTCCCTCCATCTCCAGGGCCAGGAACAGGAGACTGAGTACTCCTCACACCGCATAGCTCATCCCTCCTCTTCGGCTTCCCTTTTCCACTTTTAAGGACTCTTGTGATTACATTGGGCCCAGTTGCAGAATACAGAATAATCTTATTTTGAGGTCAGCTGATTAGCAACCATAATTCCACCTGCGGCCTGAATTCCCCTTTGCTGTATAACCTAATGTATTCACGGGTATGGGGATCAGCACACAGACATCTTTGTGGGGCCACCCCAGTTATGAATGAGTCCTTTTCATTAGCTGGAGGCAGTGTGAGATAAGAAGGAAGATGGGTACAATGGAGAGCATGGCTCAGAGGCAAGAATATGCATTCCACTCCCCGCTTTCTCTTCTTACCACAAGTTCACCAGGTCACTGGCCCTTGTTTTCACATCTCCCTAATGAAGGGGTTGGACGTGGTGGTTCCTGAGGTGCAAGACCCACCTCTCCTTATGAAATAAAACATTTAGGATCATTAAGTACCCTAGGGCAAATTTTTAATTAAAAAAAATCATTAGGGTGGTAATATCTTCTGATTTGGAATCGTCATTATAGAAAACCTCACTATATAGTGGTGGGTCTAAAGCTCACTAGACTTTAGACTCTTCTCCAGCTCTCTGGAGTTTGAGGATGGCCAACATTTGTGGTAGTCCTGAGAAACTGTTGCTTCATGGCATTCCCTTATCTGGGTACAGGCACGTGTCCTTCCATTAGGCCCAGGCAATGAGTTTACATTCTGTTGTTTGCACCATTCTCCCCACTCCTCCTATGTATTGCCACTTAGTTTTTTTTTTCCCCCAATTGGATTTGCCTTTTCTCTGCTTTTATTGGACTTTTATTCATTCATTCAAATATGTTTAGATTGGAGATGGCAGGACTATCATGTGCCAGGAATACACCGATGCTGAGATATGAATTAAGAAGAAAGACCCTACCACTACACTCATCGGACTGAGTCTAGACCAGGGGGTCCCTAAACATTCTTGATTATATACCTGTCAGTAAAAAAAAATGTGAGGATTCACTCTTTACTGGTATATGAAGTATGTTGTAAAACATACCCCAAAATTGGAAATTAAATAGACTTTGTTCTCATAGTGCCTGGATAGAGTTCTCAGCTATGCCCTGAGACCCCTGCCCATTAGAGCTGACACAGAGAAAATTGAGAATCGGAAAGTTATTAAAAGACAAAGAAATGTGTGACTTCAGGGTGTTTCTTAGCCTGGTCTTATTGTTCCTTTTGTTCCTTGCAGATTTGTTTGGTGTCTGTGTCTCAATGTCACTGTCCTTATTATTTCACTGGCCTTGCTGCCGCAGCTGGTCTGTCTATCCTGAGGATCACACTTGGAGCTTTTCCCAGGGCCTACGCTTGGATGCATTTTATTTAGATCTCCATTCCCCTGCAGGCCTCCTAGCCTGCCACCCAACCTGAGGAGTAATCTTTAAGATGAACTCGCAGCTTTTTGGAAATAACTCACATCCTTTTCCCCCTCAGGAAGGATTTGTTCGTGTTGATCGAGATTATGTCCTCAAGTCTGCGGAACTGGCAAAAGCTGGAGGGTGCAAACATTTTAACTTGCTGTCCTCTAAGGGAGCTGATAAGTCAAGCAATTTTTTATATCTGCAAGTTAAGGTTTGTGCACATTTCTATCTTGCATATACTTTGGAGAACCCTGGCTAAGTGGCACTACAAAATAATGTAAAATGCTAACTAATACAGAAATGCATTAAATGCATTATATTATGCATTTTCTATAGTGGCAGGGACTGTTTTTTGCACGGATATGTTTAGTAAACAGGAGTGATTTGAAAGATAATTTCCAATGTCTTTCCCCGTGTTGATTATCCAGTAATCATGAAATGAGTTGTGACAGCTCTGGTCTTGAATATCAGTATGGAATCTTAGCATTAGAAGAGACTTGGAGGCAGTGATTCTTAAACTTTTCCAGAGTAGATGATATTTTAGTATTGGGTATGGCTCTTGTCCTCAAGGTATCTCTAATATGCTTGTTTGGGGATTCCCCAAGGCTAGCCCCAAGTTTGGTAATTTGATAGAAGGTCTCACAAGATGCAGTATATAGTTATATTCACAGCAATGATTTATTACAATGAAAGGCTAGGAAGCAAAGTCAGTAAAGGGAAGGAGTGTATGGAGTGAGGTCCAGAGGAAGTGGGTACAAGCTTCCAAGAGTCTTCTCTCAGTAGAGGCACACATGCTTAATTTCTTCAGCAATGAGTTTTGAGAAAATGAGAGAAATTTGCCTGAGCGCCAGAGTTCAGAGTTTTGATGGAGTCAATCACATTGGCACCCTGAGCCTGGAAAATGATTATAAACTTCCAGAAGGAAAGCAAGTGTTCAGCATAAGCCACATCATTTGTACAAATAGTTTAGGTAATGTAAACTACCCTATCAGTTAGGTAATGATGGGGACACTCCTGAAATCCAAGTTCTCGGACACAAGCCAAAGGTCAACCTTGCAGGCAGGACTTTGTAAGATTAAAATAGAGTCTCAGCCCTGCTATGTTAACTCTTCTATGCACCCTGCTAATGGAGACAAAACATATCTTTGTAAAAGCTAAGAGATTTGTCCACATAAACACTTGTATGTGAATGTTCATGGCAGCATTATTCATAATAGCCCGAGTAGAAACAACCGAAATATCACAAAAGAATATTATTTGACTGTAAAAAGGCATGATACATGCGATAACATGGGTGAACCTTGAAAACATTATGCTAAAAGAGAGAGGCCCGTCACAAAAGGCCACAACTTGTAGAATTCTGTTTATATGAAATATCCAGAATAGGCAAATCTGTAGAGACAGAAAGATTAATGGTTGGCTAGGGCTTGGGGGGAGGGGATGGAAGTGAGTGCTAATTGGTGTAGGGTTTCTGGGGGGGGGCGGGCGAAGAAATAATTCTAAATTTAGATTGTGGGGAAGGTGGCATGACTCTGTAAATATACTAAAAAACATTAATTTTTAATAAGTTTTTTAAAAAGCTGCCCAAGATTGTGATGCATCAGGTGAGGTGCCAAATGAATGGTATGAACAGGCCAAGAAAGAGGAGAGCGTACCATAAAATTCACAAGGCCTTCAGATGTCCCTGTGTCTGGCATTTCTGTTCTTGGAGATGCCTGGCATGAAAATTCATGGTTGGTTTAACGAATTTAATTTAAAGACATCATATAGATGTAATCTCAGTGTCTTGAAATTTGATGGGATTTGTTAGGAAGATGGTAATACAGAGCATCTGTGGGTCTTCTGACCCACTGGAACTACCTGAAAACCAAAAAAGGTGGATGTTCATCAGCCTGCAACATTAATTCTAGACTAAGGGGAGGTTTTTCTTTGATGGTTGAACTCCTAACATGTTACTTAGTCTCTGGATCTGTTTTAAAATCAGTCACATGAAAGGCTGGACTGACTAGGCAGCCATCCTCTCATTCAGGACATCAACTCTCTACTCCCTGTCAGGATAAACGATCTCTTTCTAGAGATCTAGAATTCTAGATAAGGATACTTACAATTATTGAGACCCGCAGAAGCAGATTATCTTCAAAACCCCAAGCTATTCCCTCTTCAGCATTACAGTAAACTGGTCTTCTTGATTAAATACTAAAATTTGGTTTTGATTAACAGGGAGAAGTGGAAGCTAGAGTTGAAGAATTACAATTTGATCGTTACTCTGTGTTTAGGCCTGGGTAAGTATTCATACTGCCTAACAGTACAGTACTGTTCGCTATGCCCCAGAAGTTAGTTTTTCTTTTTTTTTTTAGTTTTTCTTTTTTTTTTAGTTTTTCATTTGAAGAGGCTGACAACTAAGATATCTAAGCTATGAAAGAAGTTGACTAGAGGTGGATTGCTTCTCTGAAGCAATCTGGCTTTGAAGGAAAGGGTAGATCGTTTGTTGGTGCCAGGTTCATAGTAGTCTGGAATTTCCTGGGTGGCTTTTGCTGCCTTAAAAAAAAAAAAAATATCCTCTTCATTCACCAAATAAAACCTTTCACCCATTGTATTAATCTGTTCAGGCTGCCATACAGAATAACACCACAGACCGGGAGGCATAAGCAACAGAAATTTATTTTCTCACAATTCTCGAGGCTAGAAGTCCAAAGTCAAGGTGCCATCAGAGTTAGTGTCTGCTGAGGCCTCTCTTCCTGGTTTGTAGATGGCCTTCTGTCTGTGTCCTGACTGGGTCTTTCCTCTGTTGCACGGGGAGAGGTATCTGATATCTCTCCCTCTCCTGTAAGGGTACCAGTCTTGTCCAGTCAAGATCCCACCCTTATGACCTAACTTAATCTTAATTACCCCCTATAAATGCACTGTTATCAACTACAACCACACTGGGGATTAGAGCTTCAACATGAATTTGGTGGGTTGGGCACAGTACAGTTCATAGCACCCTCTATGGTCTGAAGAAAATAAACCATCTCTTCCTCTGCTTTTCTTTTTCTCTTTAGAGTTCTACTGTGTGACAGGCAAGAATCTCGCCCAGGGGAATGGTTGGTTAGGAAATTCTTTGGCTCCTTACCAGAATCTTGGGCCAGCGGGCACTCTGTGCCAGTGACAACTGTGGTTAGGGCCATGCTGAACAATGCAGTGCGCCCAAGCGGCAAGAAGATGGAACTGCTGGATAATAAGGCCATCCATGACCTGGGGAAAGCCGATAGCTCTCGCACGCCATGACCACGCTGGAGAAATGCTTTCTACTGTAAAGCTCAACACCCGCCACCTCATTGGTACTTTTCAGGGACCAAAAAAAGTCAGTGTGCTTCACAAGTCTCAGCTGCCCAGATCCAATCAAAAATTACTGTGTTCTGCACCAGCAATTCAGAGCCTGGTCAGACGTATGGATACATCACCCGGGGAGCTTTCAAAAATAGAGATTCGTAGGCTCTACCTCTAACCTCTGAAGAAGAATCTTCAGGGTATGAGGGCAGGAATCTGCTGCTTTTTTTAAAGCTTCCCCTAGTGGTTCTGGTGCCACTGGTGGGGCGGCCTGCTTTGAAAAGCTTCTCTGCAGCCAGAGTAGCAGCACAAACCTTATCTATTATGCAGATGATCTCTATTCTATTCTAAAATTGTCATTTGTGTCTTTGAGTTACCTGCCACCGACTGCTGTATTTGTGTCAGTGGGCATCGTGCCTTACTACTTCTTTACAATGTATAATAAAAGTCATTATATAACCGAGCTTGTATAATTCCTGGGAGAACTAAATATAGGAAGAAAGATAAATGGACAAGTCCTGGGTGATCGTTAGAAAATGTCCAAGTATCGGTGGTAATGTGCAGCGTTTTGGCCAGTGGGATGATATAACAGTGCTAGTGTTTACCCGGTGCTGGCTAAGTGCCAACCTATACACATGCTCTCTGTCCTGTAACCCTCCACAATTATAATCCTGATGGGTGCTACTATCATCCCCACATCTTAGATGGGGAAACTCAGGGCCCAAAGCTGAAGACCTGAAGCTAGGCTATGGCAGAGCCAGGATTCTAACCCAAGTCAGCCTGACCCATAGCTTGTATTATTTTTAACGACTCTGCAAAAGCCTCCGGTATCTGAGTATTTCCAGGAAGTTCCAGTTAACAGTGACTGGATGAGTACATGCTATGGGTGAATAAAATTGAAATATTTGTTTTCTTTTATAGGGTTTAGGATCCCAGTAATGATTAACCACAAAATGTTCACATAGCCATTAGAAGTGTATGTCAAGGTGCCACACTTTAAAAACTATGGAAAAGGAAAGATGCAGAAGGAAGGGTCAAAGTCAAGAGGAGTACACAGTGTTAATTTCCATCCAAGAGCAAAGGATAGTGGTGAAACCCTGTCTTAACCTCTGTGCTGAGGGAAACAGTGATTTGAATGATTCCGTCCATTTTTACAGGGTCTACAGTATGCCAGGTACATTTCAAGCTTCAGTGGACACCAGACGATAAAGGCCATTCCCTTTAATTGGGGGTGTATATCTGTAGAAGGGATTGGACGTTCCCATTGTCAGTCACCCCGGAAAGAGACATATTTTAGGAAGGGGTGGGGTCGGGCGCCTGGGTGGCTCAGTTGTTAAGCGTCTGCCTTCAGCTCAGGTCATGATCCCAGGGTCCTGAGATCCAGCCCCACATCGGGCTCCCTGCTCCGCGGGAAGCCTGCTTCTCCCTCTCCCATTCCCCCTGCTTGTGTTCCCTCTCTCGCTGTGTCTCTCTGTCAAATAAATAAAATCTTAAAAAAAAAAAAAGGAAGGGGTGGGGTCTTAGGATGTGGACTTTAGGAGGGAGATGAAACATTCCTCCTGCCAGGCAGGGTTCCTTTGGGGCTCCCTGCTCCGCGGGAAGCCTGCTTCTCCCTCTCCCATTCCCCCTGCTTGTGTTCCCTCTCTCGCTGTGTCTCTCTGTCAAATAAATAAAATCTTAAAAAAAAAAAAAGGAAGGGGTGGGGTCTTAGGATGTGGACTTTAGGAGGGAGATGAAACATTCCTCCTGCCAGGCAGGGTTCCTTTGGGGCTGGACTCTGAAGAGCCTTCGTGTTTGGGTGATAACAGGCATGGGTTCCAAGGAGTGAGGCATGAGGCGAGGGGACCCTATAGGGACATCCTGAGGCCTGTGGGCTCTAAAAGCTACCCACAGTGGCTAATTTTAAGTTATCCTCTCTATGTTATTTTCTTACCCACAAAACCTTCTGTCAGGTCACGTTCAACTTCCTATTCTGGTCTCAATAGTGAGATGGGATGTCAGGGGTAGGGTCTGTCTGTGTTCATCTTTGGAGTAGAAAGGAAAGTGGCTCCCTCCCAAACCCAGCATCGTGGTGAGACAAAAACTTAAAGGGACAAGATTCTGGCTCAGTCACCCTTCTAGACTGTGTGTTATTTACTTTAGTGTGTTAACATTGACTGGGTGTTACAAAGAAACTGAGCAGATATCCCTCCAAATGTTATACACACAGGGAGAAGGTGGCCCATGCTGGAGAAAGAGTTTATGTTGGAAGGATAAAGCAAAAAGGTGGATGGGCCCAGGTACCAGAGGCCTTGAATTATTTAATTCAGCATACTGAATGCTTCCTAAGCACTCCTGGACACACAGGCAGTGTGGATACATCAGGGAACAGTAAGTTTAACCTATTGGAGCCAGCAGCTATTCTGGCAATATAAGGACAAATATTCAAAACTAATACTTGATAGATTCTGTCCTCTACAGTTGAGAGGAGTACATTCAGAAGAGTTGAGCAATATAAGGCATCATTTTCACTCAGCAAATTTACCAAGTACCTACTATGAGGCCATCTATTATGTGACAGAGAAATGAAAGCAAAGAGACAAGGCCCTTTGAGACAAGGCACAGCACTGGGGGTAAAAGCAAAAAAAAAAAAACCCAAAAACAAAACAAAACAAAAAAACAAGCAAATGGTACATGCTCAGTAAGAAACTAACAGGGCTGCTGGAAAGAGTGGAAACTTGTTGAGAAATGGTGGTTTGTATTTGTAGAGCATTCTTAGCAAAAGCCTTGAGGTGTGAAAATGATTAAAGGCTGGGGGGTGGGTGAAGGGTTGGGTTGACATGGAAGTCAGGCAGGGTTATGTGGAGCCTGGTAGGCCAAGCTAGTCAATTTAATTGGATAAACATGTGCCAGTCTCGAACTAGAGCTTGGTCAATTACCTACTGAAATTACTGCTGCCCGCTCCCACCTAACAAAGCATTCTGTGGTTTGAGTAGATGTTAGGAAGGGGAAAAAAGGCATGAAGCACGGAATGTTTGTGTTTTTCCCACCCAGCAGCCATTATGTCACTTTCTAAACGTATGGAAGAGCATCACTCCGTCGCTTAACCGAGCAGGTCAGCTGCTTCCCATTGTTTAGGATAAAGATAACCTTTAGCTGACCTGCTGCTTCCCATTGTTTAGGATAAAGTTAACACTTGACGTCTAAGCACTTTACATGTATTAAGTCGTTTTGTCCTTAGAGTGGCTCTGGCTAGTGCGGTTATTATCCTTGTTTTGTAGGTGAGGAAGTGGAGGCGGTGAGAGGTCTTGATGTTGCTCAAGATCAGAGTGACAAAGTGACAGACGTAGGATTCAGACTGAGTAGGTTGGATCGGAGTCCAAGCTCTCACTTAACCACTGCACTTTAAAAGACTAAAACCCTTAAAACAGTCCTCCAGGCTTTGGCACCTATGTGTGCTCTGTATCCCCACACTGGCTCCTGCAGTCTTGTCTCCCCACCCAGCTGCACCCCAAGGGAATCAGGGAGCCCAGGAACCAGAGTCGAGTCTCAGGCCCTTGCTTGCGCTCCGTTTCTCCGCCAACAGAGGGCGCCGCGGGTCGTCCTCCCCCTCCACTAACGGCCTATTCCTCGAATAAGAGACGCACAGAGGGCGCGGAGTCCATCGCCAAACCGCTGGGCGCCTGCGTCTCTGGGCTCAGGGGCGCAGGGGAGGGCCTCCCGCTAAAACCTGCCGCAGCGCGAGGAGGAGACAAAAGTCACATCAAAGTCTGCGGCGTTCAGTCCAGCTTTCAGCGCCTACTCGGCGCGCGATACATCAACCTTGCCGCTGGAGGAAGCGGAGCACCGGCTCCCGCCCCGCCCCCAACTCACGTGACCAACAACCAGGGCCTCGAGGCCGGAAGTGCTTCCAAGCCCGCGCGCGCGCGTTCTCGCGTTTGTTGGCGACACTTAGGCTCCCCGAGTTCCGTCCCTGCCTTGCGCTCGCGCTCGTTCGCAGGGTTCCGGGTCCGGCTTGCTCGGCGGCGGCTGCGCGCACGCTGCCCAGCCCGGTCCCCGCCCCCAGGCGCGCGAGATTCCGGGGCAACACAGCCATGTGCTCGTTAGCGTCGGGCGCTGCGGGTGGGTATCCCCGGCCCCTTAGCGCCGTGTTCGCCCGGCACCCTCCCCTCCCGGATGCGGTGTGGGACGGTGGGGCCTGGCTGGGAGGGTAGGGGAGGCGCGGGCGAGGGCCGCGGGGGAGCGGGGAGGAGGGCAGCGCACCCACTACCCTGCTCCTCGTGCGCCCGGCTCGCACTGGTGTCCGTCCGGGGCAGGGCTGATCGTTTGCGTGTGCTAGGCGGCCAGGGCGCTGTGGAGGACGAGGACGACCTGCCAGAGCTGTCCGACAGCGGTGACGAGGCCGCCTGGGAGGATGAGGACGATGCTGAGCTCCCCCACGACAAGCAGCAGACCCCCTGCCTGTTCTGTGACAGGTTCGTCTTCCTCAGTGTCACACGCCACCCGTAGGGTGCCCGGGCCCCGTGGGTCCGTGTGGTCCGTTCGTCTGAAGTCCAGCCCGAGCGGCCTGCCCGCGAATCCTTGAACCAGTGGTGTGGAGTGAAGGTTTGTTGAGAAAAGGAGGAAGCACAGTGCTGTTGAGGGAAGAGCCATGAACTGGAAGCCAGGTTATGCTAGCTTCTCTTCCACAGGCCTCAGTTTCCCCTTGTGTGAAATCTGAATCTGTGGTTCCCAAACCTAGTTGTGCGCCCTTGTCACTTGAGACTTGAAAAAGATGCTGAAGCCTGCGCCACAGCCCTTCTAAATCAGGGGTGGGGCCTAGGAATCTTCTATTTTTATAAAGGCATTTTCTGAGGTGATTCTAATGAGGAACAAGTTTGCCAGTCACTAAACCACATAATCCCTCAGGACCCTTCCAGCGTTATCATTCTATACTTGATTAATGAGTACCGAGCTTCTCAGCTGTCATATTTCCATTGGAGCCGTCTGAAGAATCACCTTAGGTAGGGGCTCCCCACCCATTGAAGGGAAAGGAATTGATGCCTTTTTCACTTAGGAAAAAGACTATGGTATCAGTAATTTGTTCAAGGTCACAAAGCTGGTTTGTCTTATATCCAAATCATGTTTTT